TTTGGAGTTGTGGCTTGTTGGCTGTCATTATCTGGTTAGTGGTTTGATGCCTCCAATGGAAATGTCCTAACTTGGATTGCGGGTTGTTGCATGAGGCCCCTTTCTTGAGCCTGGGCATCTACACCTTTCTATCTGGCTCTTCTTTCTCTTTGTAGCCTTCTTTACTTTGAGGTTGTGTGTGTGTGTGTGTGTATATATATATATATATAGGGGCGGAGCTAGACTGGGGGCCCTGGGGGCTTTGGCCCCTACTGGCCAATTACCATATAACAGCAAAGCCCACAGTAACAAAAATAATCTAAAAAGAAATAGAGCCCACGCTGGGCTTGGGGTGGATTTGAGCCTACGCCACCCAGGTTTTGCAAGATGCAATAACCATCTGATCCATGGAGCATTTCACGTTCCTATTTCAAGGATTTAATTTATATTGTAATAAATTTTGAATTTTCACTTCCTCACATATGAGCATTACTATATAGTCTATATATATAATACCATCCAAACTACTCAGCTCGCTCCTTATTTTTCAATGGGCCTGAAAATAGAAGCAAAATAGAGACGAGCTAACACAGTGTTGTACAAATAAATTGAAAGCAGTTGAAAGAAAGCTAAATTGAATCATATATTGAAATTGAATACAATTAAATAAATACTAAAATTAATTGAATTATAAAAAAAAAAAATACTTCATAATGATTATCATGATAGCTCTTAAAACCAAATTTTCATATATCTTCGTCGCCAAAATCTCACCTCAGCACCCACGGCATCACAACATTTCGATAACATAATCCCACATCAGTCACTCACTAGCTCTGTTATCACAGCACTTCGGCAACAGAATTCCATCTTGATTTCCTACTAGTGTCAAAATCACATCACAACACATCGTATCATATTTTTTTTTATATTTTTCAATGCATTTCATTAATTAAAACATAATTAAACTGAATTAAAAAATTATCAATATGCTCTTAACGGTGGACAACAGAAATATTATTGAGCAAAAAGTTCATAATTTCAAATCATAACTAAATTATCAGAGACTGTGTAATCATTCTAAAACTTTAATTGAACTGAAACATTTTTTTTAGGTGTTAAAATAATTTTTTGAGTAGATAAAAATCATTGTATTTTCAAAATCACTTGGTTAAAATTTTTTATAATATTCTTAAAATATGCATAATCTCAATCTCTATAACATATAAAAAGTTGCACGATGAAAGGTTTATCCAAATAAAATTATACTTGTTTTTCGATAACGAAACTACAAATTTGATCAAAAAAATCTCAAAAGCATCAAATAATTGAAAACTGAAATAGCCAAAACATAATCTATCTCGAGACGAACAAATTTCTCAACTGGATTGACAAACAAAAATCACTTTACAATCTTCAAACAATAACTCTTCATTCTCTATCCTCGCTTTTCTTCTTTTTTTTTTTTCGCTCCAAACCCTTCTCAGTTAAGAGAAAAAAGAGATTTAAAAGGCATTTAAATAAAATCTATAAAGGTTTAAATTTTTATATAAAATAATAATATTATTATTATTATCAAATTTTCAGTTTAAAATTCGTATAAATACTTTTAGGGCATCAAAAAATATAGAAAATATCAAAAAAAAAATTATAGAAATATTCATAAAATATCTCATTTTGTTTAGAAGATTTTGGTGAAATCAGTTTGCAAATTTGTCATCTAATGGTCCCAAAACTCCCACATGTACCAACATGCTACAAATGTCAAATTCTTAAGAAATTTCACAACCGCCTTTATGAAAAAAATTAGTAAACCTAAAGCAAAATAATATAAATGTTATGACAAAGATAATTTATTATTTAGAATTATAATGACTCGAAAATAAATTCTTGATTTTTGTAGGTAAAAATATTTTTAAAAAATTTTTAAGTTATAACAGCTTGATTGTATGAAAAATATATGCAATATAAAAGAAAAATAATGTAAAAGAAATGTGATGTAAAATAAATGCTTTGGAGTTATTTAGATGAATGAAAAAAGAATACCCATAAGAAGCTCGACCACCAACACCTAGGGGTATAAACGAGTCGAGTATTAGCACTATCAAGCTTGGCTCGTCAGTTAGAAAGTCGGTTTGAACTTGAGCTCGAGCTCCAGTCTAGCTCAAAAGGCGAGCTCGAACTCGAGCTCGTCTCGCTATATACAAGCTCGAGTCGGCTCATGAGCCTCGCACATGTCCGAGTCTTGTAGTCGTCCGCCTGATTGCATCCCTTGTTCGAGTTCCACTCCCCGCACGAGCGCATTGAGTTTCGAAGTTCTGATCATGCGTCGTTTTCTCTCTCACGGTTTCCTTTTCCTGCCTACGAGCTCCGATCTCACATCGTCTTCCGCGTGCTATCCCCCATCCCACGTCGTGAGCCGCTCCACGAGCTACCGAGTCGAGCGGTATGCTATTGGAGCTTGAGCTCGATAAGCCGTCGAGCTTGAAATCCTGTATGAGCTCGACTCGAGAGCTTGATAAACTCGACTCATCAAGCCTGTTAACGTGTCGAACCCAAATTAACCAGCTTGACTCAATTACACCCCTAATAGCACCATCCATTGAACGATGAAACTATAGTTGGATTCACAATATGAGTTGAGTAACATCATTAATATATGCACTAAATCACTCTGTTAGCCAACATCTTGTTTTTTAGAAAAAAAAAAATTAGACTCTAAAGAGCATAATTGTGATTTCTTGCAGAAGCAAGATTTTATAAATGGAAGTCAATAGCATAAAGAAATTTTTTTTATTAATTATCTAAAATTTAAATAAATTTTTAAGCCCAAAATAAATTTTAAGTTTTTTTATTTGCTTTTAAAACAATTTTTTCGGCTTAATTTGATATAGCTTTTTTATTACTTTCTAAAAAAAAATTAGTACACAAATTTTTAGTTAAAAATTTTTTTTATTAAAATATTGCTTTAAAAAATAATAAGAAAATTATTTCAAATGAAGATTTAAATTTTATTTGGGCCAATTTTTTAATGTTTTATGAAGCAGCTTCCTATTTTTTTTTTTAACTTGAAAATTTTTAACTAGAAAATTGCTTTACAAAACAGTAAGAAAATTATCCCAAATAAAATCTTAATGTTAAAACTTCCTAAAATTAACCAATAAACAATTGCCAAAAACTATCTCAAAGAAGCCTAAAACTCGAACTTTTATTAGGTCCTCTGACCGGACGTAGAGCTACGTTCGATCGTCAATAACATGTCATCACGTGCTCTTACTCTTTACCGCGCGGCCCGACGACTTTACCCGAACCGGAACTCGGGAATGCTATGTTCGCGTATTGCTAGGTATTACTCGGTATTTGCTCGGTATTGCTCAGTATTGTTAGGTATTGCTTAGCAATAACGAGAAATACCGCTCTGTGAAGACTAATACCGAGTTGTACCGAGTTTTTCTAGAAAAATTCGGTACAACTCGGTATTGCTCGGTATTACTCGGTATTTGCTCGGTATTGGTTATTGCCAAGCAAAATCGACCAATACCTAGCAATACCGAAAAATAGATTTTGCATCGAGATTAGTGCCCGATCAAGATAATTTTTTGAGGATGTATCAGTGCCCGATCAAGTTAATTTTTGCATGATACATCACAAACGAAGCCTAAAACTCAAACTACAATTTCTTGTAAAAGCTATGATGATATCCAAAGAGTTTTAGAAAAAAATCATCTAAAATCCAAAATTTTGGGATAAAAATCTTAATTTGCCCCTTAACTTCCTCAAAATTCTAAAATTTCAGCCCAAAATTTTACAAATCAATCCAAAGACCGAACCAAACAAATATCAATAAATGTTGAATCAGTTTCCATCAAAAACGTATCGAAATTAGCTAAACTGAATCGAAGTTATCGAAAATTTATATTAAGAAAAAAATATTAAATGAACTTTTTTTTTTACTTCAGATGCGATTTAAACTGTTTAATTTAATTAATACAAAACGTGTTTCGTCTACGTTTAAATAATAATTAGTAAAATTTGGTCGCCGAATTGGTCGATGTGATGTGCTTAATTACCTTCTTTAGAATTAATTAATGTATCTTACAGTTTTCTGCCTTCCAAATGCCAAACGCCACATTGACCCCTAACTTTCTCTTTAATTTGCTTATAAAACTTCTCCTTTTTTTATTTAAAATTCATTTCAAAATAAATTTTTATTAATTTTTTACTACTAAGGTTTATTTGGAATGTTTTTTTTGTTGCTTCTTAAAACAGCTTTTTAGTACGAAAATTAAAATTTTCATGCCAAAAAATTGCTTTAAGACGCAAGAAGAAAGCCGTCCCAACTTTTTTATTGCTTAAAAAAAAAAATTTAGTACAAATAAAAATATTTTTATACTAGAAAGATGAATTTTGTTTAATAAAAAAAAATTATACTAAAAAATTATTTTAGAAATCAGTAAAAAAATTATTCCAAAAAAGAAGCCTAATTATAAAAGAAAACTTCCAAGCGTTTGTTTGTATTTGAAGGAAAAATATAACTCTATATTAAGAGAAATTATGTTGAATAAAAGATATTTCCTAAATATATTTGTGTATGTTATGACAAAATAATTAAAATTTTGATAAGATATTAAAAATAAATATGAAAAATAAATGTATTTTTTAATCAAAAATGATGTGAAAACCTTTAAAATTATTTTAAAATTTAATACAACATTAATTATTTATATATTATATTAAAATGAAATTTACTTTAATTAAAATTAATTATATTAAACTAGTCATTAATCAGTAATTAGATTAAGAAATTAGTCGAATAGATTATAGAAAAATAATTCATAGCCAAAATAATCTAATTCTAATTAACTACATTAATATAATTAATTACTACATAAATCAGTTCATTAAAAGCAAACAAATTAATTAAGCTCTGCAACTTACGGTAAAATTAAATGATATTTTAACGGGTTTGACTGTGTTTTTACTTAATAAGAATCGAATTTCTTGTCTGCTTTGATTTTTAAAAGAAATAGTTCGGCAGGCAGCTTAGTTACCTCCTTCCTCTTGCTTTCGCCGAGGAAGCTTTCTTCTGCTGCTTAGCGGTATCATTTCCTCGCCTGCAAGCCGTCGTCTTTGACCTCGTCTTGCTTTTTCTCGTCCTTTGTCCTGTTTGCGGAGTTGCGGGTCTTTTGCTCCTTTCGAATCTGCTCGGGTTCTTCTTTAAAGGTGTTCTCTTTGTGGGAAACGGTAGGAGATAGAGAGAGTAGGAGGAGGAGAGGAGAAAAATGATGAAGACGAGGGTAAATGGCGGCGGGGAGAGGAGGGTGTCGACGAGATGGATTATTTTGCTTTGCCTAGCGAGCTTCGGCCTTGGAATGCTATTCACTGATAGGTGAATTCTTGATATCTTTGATTAGTCCAAGAAGTATTGAAAAGATGAAATTTTTAGGGTTTTTTTCTTCTTGATGAATGAAATCATTCAATTAGAGCGTTTGGTTTGTACTGTTTGCACAGTTTGTCATTACGTGGGAGTTGAAATTCTTCGTATTTGAATTGGTTTTCCCTAAGTTTTGAGCTTTTGGATTGGTTAGGTTTCCAGATTTGAATAGGCGAGCAGATTCGAACTGGCAGATGATCTCACAGCAGCGGAAGGAACAGGAGCTTCATGTTGTATCAGAAGATTGCACAACTAAAAAGGTCAGAACTTCAAATACCAGTTCTTTCTCCGTTTATTCACCTTTTTTTTTTTCTTATTATATCAATATTTCAATGTTCAAAATAGAAGCTTGGCCAAGATAAGGATGTAATGGGAGAGGTCACAAGGACTCATGAAGCCTTACAGTGAGTTGATGGATTCTGAACAAGACGAACTTCTTGTTGATTCGTTTATTTGTTAGTATTTGAATTTTAGAGTTAGTTGACATTTTTATGAATTTGATTGGTATCAGATCTTTGGATAAGACAATATCAACACTTCAGATGGAGCTGGCTGTAAGCAGGAGCTCGCGTGAGCTTACAGGCTCGAATGGTTCTCCTGTCATCACAGCATCCAGTGAGCAAAAAAAGAAGGCTTTTATCGTTATTGGGATTAATACAGCATTTAGCAGCAGGAAGAGGCGTGATTCTGTCAGAGATACCTGGATGCCTCAAGGTTTCTTTTTAACTACTTCCTTTTTACATTATTAAATCTGCTAAATCTGTTAATTATGCTTCAATGTTGTAGAGATGGCTTCAATATGCTTAGTCCTCAAATCATACTCTTTAGTGATTAAATTTGCTTGTAATTCTTCAGCTAAAACTATCATTTTCACTCTAAGCTGTAATGAGAAAGGTTGAGGGTTGATATTAGGATGATAGTTAACCACTGTTCATTAAAGGAATCCAAAATTAAAGATTTTGATATTGTTGGGATAAGGCTTATGACGATGATGATGATGATGAGTGTCTCTGTGGCCTGACTGTTTCAGATATTGATGAAATCTATGCATCTTTTGAGATAATAACTTATGAACAAAACAAGTTTGCTTAAGGAAGACAGTGCATTAGAGATAAAATGTGTATGACATTCCTTTACGTGTCTGCTGACTGATGTTTTGCAGAATTGGTTTCTATCACACATCAAATATCCTTTTTGACTTCACCACAAATGAGGAGAAATTATTATGTGTGTAGGCCGGATGCAAAACGCCTTCCGGAGACCAACCAAAATGCGTCACGTTGACAGTACCGAGCTGCGATACCGAGCAGTACAGACTACAGAGCGAAGGGGTGACGTGGTGTATTCTGGTTGGTCTCCGGATGACCTTCGGCGTCCGCACAGAATAATTAATCCCAAATGAAAGGTCGTGTGAATAGTTTGTTTTAGCAACTTTGTAGAATGGCCATATTGATTGAACCAACACTTTTTCTTATTAAATTTCAGATTAGCAACACAACTGTGATGCAACATCAGTCAGTGATTTTTTTTTTTTTTTGGGCAAAAAAAAATTGCATCTGTCGTTTCATGTGTGCACGACAGATTTTTCCCTCACTTTTTTTTTTCTAGCTTTATAAGAATTACATCAGAACATTTTATGTCCACTCAGGTGAGAAGCTAAAAGAACTAGAACGTGAGAAGGGCATTGTCATCCGGTTCATGATTGGCCACAGGTATTTTTTCTGCTTCTATCTATGTTATCTATAACAACGAGAACACCTATTCTATTAGACTTGCCTTAACATAAATTTATTTCTAAATTGTATATCTCTGTGTTGCTCATCCAATGAACTTAGCCGTATTACCCATCATAGTGCAATCAAAGTCCTGTAAATTGTGTTTCATGGGGCCTAATTCGTGCACTGACCTAACTTGTCTTTGATTTTTCTTGTGTAGTGCTACAGCAAATAGCATTCTAGATAGGGCAATCGATTCAGAAGAAGAACAACATAATGACTTTCTTAGGCTGGTAAGGCGCATTTTCTCACTATTTATCCAAAAAAAGCCTAAATGCCTTGATTTTTCATTAACAACTTCCATGAATATGATCAGGATCATGTTGAAGGCTATCATGAATTATCTGCAAAGACAAAGATTTTCTTTTCTACAGCAGTTACTTTATGGGATGCTGAATTTTATGTCAAGGTGGATGATGATGTCCATGTTAACTTAGGTATATATTTATTTGAAATTTTTATATATATATAACACCTAAAATTATTAAAAATACATATTCAACATCTAAAATTCTATATTTACTAATATACCATCTAAAATCCCCTTTTCCTTCTATTCTAACACTCCATTGAAGCAATGAGATATTTGTTTTCACTGTGAAAGAATGCCATTGATGGGGAAGACAGTCGCTGATAGTGATTTTTGATGGAATGTTTAAACGGAATGTTAGAATTTTTAGGTGGTATATTAGTAAATATAGAATTTTAGGTGTTAAATATGTATTTTAAATAGTTTTAGGTGTTATGTATGTAAAAATCCCTATTTATTTTCAATAAATTCTTGCATATGCCTCTTTAGACAGATCATTCCACTTATAACACTTATATGTTCTAGGTATGCTGGCTGCAACTCTCTCTCGCCATAGGTCAAAACCAAGGGTCTACATTGGGTGTATGAAGTCTGGTCCAGTTCTTTCAAATAAGTATATCATCTTCCCCTTCTCCAGTCTGCTCATCCTGCATGTATAAATTATGAGATAATCATGTTGAAGCTGTTCTTTTCAGCTATAAAGTATCGCCTTTTTCTTAATTTTTTACAGGAATGTGAAGTATCATGAGCCTGAATATTGGAAATTTGGAGAAGAAGGGAACAAATACTTCCGGCATGCAACTGGCCAAATCTATGCCATCTCGAAAGATCTGGCAACATTCATTTCTATCAACCAGTAAGTCATGGCAAGTGACTTTTGTTGTACAGAAATAACTATTTTGTGGTTTTAATGTGTTGTTTCTTTTTGTATAGGCCTATACTTCACAAGTATGCAAATGAAGATGTTTCTCTTGGTGCTTGGTTCATTGGGCTTGAAGTTGAGCATATTGATGACAGGAACATGTGCTGTGGAACTCCACCAGGTTTTGTTTTTTTACCTGCAGTTTTGGAAAAATTATTCTGTGCGGAAGCGGAACCCGATGCCTAAGCCCGCAGCTCGGTACTGTTCGGTACCGAGCATCGGTACCGCTCGGTATGGCTGAAGTTAGGGGTGTCAATTTCAGGTTGGGTTCGTGTCGAACCCGAAATTGACCCGACACTATTAGGTCAACCCGAACCTATTCGGGTCAACCCGAACCCGATCCATTTTTGCAAACGGGTTAGTTTTTCGAATCCGAACTCAACCTGCTTCGGGTCCAAGTCAACCCAACACGACCCGAATGACTCGGTGCCAACAAAAAATTGCTAGTTTTTGGGTCCAAAAACGGGTCAATCTCCGCTTTTCGGGTCAAAATGGGTTAGAAACGGGTCAACCTCGGGTTGTCAGGTCAAAACGAGTCAATTTCAGGTCAAAGGGTCAACCCGAACCAGACCCGATTTTTGAAAGGGGTTGAATTGTTGAACTCGAACCCAAACCCGTTTCGGGGTTCGGGTTGACCCTAACCCGAAATTTTCGGGTCAGGTTCAAGTCGGGTTTTCGGGTCGTGTCAAATATTGACAACCCTAGCTAACGTGGCTCATTCTGATTGGTATCCGGATGTAGAGCTGTATTTGGCATCTGCACAGAATAATCTCTCGTAGTTTTGACATTTCACTCGATCAATTTCCACAATAGATTTCACTCAAACATTTCATCTAACATCTTCAACAAATGCTTCCTTGTGTCCAGATTGTGAATGGAAGGCTCAAGCAGGAAATGTGTGTGTTGCATCATTTGATTGGAGTTGCAGTGGCATTTGCAAGTCGGTGGAGAGAATAAAGGATGTACACGCTCGCTGTGGGGAAGGGGATGGAGCTGTATGGGGAGCTCTCTTCTGACTTCATTCTTTCTCAACTGTATCGACTGGTGAAAATTCCCATTCACTCTCAAAGACTCACAGGTCTCTGAAGCCTCGAAGCTTCTGTGAGTATTTTTTCCCATTTTCAGCTGTACATGATCAGGTTCCTCCTCAGCTGTAGATTCATAAGAAAGAATATGGGATCAAGATCATGTTTTATGAAGAATCTGGAAATTTGTATTTTTCATTCTTTGGTATGTTTTTTTCTTTTTATTACAGCAAGTTAATAGATCTATTATCTTTTCAGAGAGGGTATGTGTCAGTTTTGAAGTTATAGCCTTCTTTTCTGATAGTTCTGTAAGAAAATTGCTGTATGCTATCAAAGATATTAAAGAAATTTTTTTGTTGATGAAGGAGATGTTGTTTAAACCGGTCCGTTTCGCGTTCAATTTGGTCGGATCCGAAATTAAACCGGGTGTTTTGATGAACTACTTGAACCAGAGCCATCAAGTTCGATTAATTTTTCAACCAATGCAACTCAGCTTAGTATTGAATTCGAATCTTAAGTATATAATATATAATATGTTTATGAATTTATCCTAATTAGCTTAAATGTCCTTTAAAAAAAAGTTTTTAAACCACTGGACCATACGAAACACGCCATTTTGCTAACCGGTTTATTTCTATCTTTTTTTTTTTTTAATGTTTAAATATAAAAATTTCTTAGTGTTATCATTTTTTATTTTAAGAACCAAAATAATTTATTTCTTTAACATTTAAAAATATATTCTAAGATATTTTCACATGTTTAGATTTCAACTAATTTGAATAATTAGATATTAATTAAGAAACTAGGATTTATTAATGCATGCTTAAAATAATTAGTTGTATTGGTTCTTGGTAATGATATATATGTCTGAAAGCATTTATTAAAATAATGTTCATTAATAATCAGTGACTGAATTAAGTTCTTTAATTGTTTTTTTTTTTAATTCAATTACAGTAAATATCTCTACAATAATAGATTAATTCATCAATTATTTGAATGAAAATGAATTATGTAGTCTAACTAGCAACTAATTAGGATCTAAGTGATCTTGGCGGAGCCGATACCAATCTTCTCGATTATTAGAATGTCGTTACTTGTTATTTTAATTTTTTGTTATTCGAATGTAACCTGTATTTTGATTTTTTTTTAGTATTATACTTCTCAATATCTGTTATGTATAAGAATTTTATCTTAAATTTTATCTTAATGTTAACTTACATTAATTAATTTTGTAAAAAAATTTAGATTTCTAAAAAATAAAATATTTCTAATTTAGTATTTTAATTAATAATAAAAATATTCTAAACTTTAATCTTTAAAATTAATTATTAAGTTTCGAATTAAACAAAAAAAAAATGCCCTATGAACAGTGCGACGCCAATATTGACGTCGAACTGTTCATCTCCCTTCAAATGCCTGCAAATATAACGATCAGTTGGAGGGAAGGAAGAACGACAAACACTGGTTTGCCGTTCGGTTGGAGATGCCCTTAGAGCGTCTAATACTCATTTGACGTCGCAGGTTTGCTGCATTAGATCCCCAAATAAAACACCATTTGCGTGAGAGTGAATTGTGCGACACCAATATTAGCATCACACTGCTCACACGCTATTTTTTAAAAAAATTGAAAATTAGGTTAAAAAAAGTATGAGAAAGAATATACACATAATATTCTTTTTTGATGTTAGAAAATCAAATTTGGTTGGATAGAGTTACTACAATTTAGAGTATTAATGCATTTTGGAGAAAAAATTATGTTTTTGGAGATGGCCTTAGCAATGTAAACTTTAAGAAGGTGAAGAAAGATGCTCTTATGAAACTTTTATGTCAGAATTATGTTTTTTAATTGCCAAATTATTTTTTAATATTAATTTTACAAAGAAAAAGTGAATCATTCATAAATATTTTTAAATAAAAAAAGAAAAACAAATATTATAAATAGGCCTAAACCAGAACTCATAAACTGAAAAGTTCCACAGAAGAGAACTTAAAAATCTAAGAGATTAATTAAGACTACCACAATATGAGAAGTTAGTGAAAGGTCAGCCAATGTCTTCGCTGCTGCCACCGCTGCTTAGGCTTCGTTTGGAACGACTTTCTTATTATTTTTTAAAAATAACTTTTTAATAAAAAATTTAAATTTTTGTATTAAAAAATTACTTTAAGAAACAGTAAGAAAATCATCCTAAATGAAACCTTACTCTCCTGTCTTCCTTCAATACATAGAGTCCATTCACTAGCACATGAAGAGACTTGCTTCACTGAGATGTGAAGAACCATAGATCAAATAGAACAACGAAAATGTGCTGGCAAACTAAATTTGAAATAGGAAGAGTAAACCATTGCTGTATTACCGAATTGAAGACTTCGAAGGATAAGTGCCTTAAAAGGCAATTGTTTCTTTCTTATATTTCCCAATAACCAAATCATACACTAAGGCTTCGTTTGAGACGGCTTTCTTGTTGCTTCTTAAAGCAGCTTTCTAGTACAAAATTTTTAATTATTGAACTAAAAAACTGCTTCAAGAAGCAGCAAGAAAGCCGTCCCAAATGAAGCCTAAGTCTTCATTTGAGACGGCTTTCTTTCTGCTTCTTAAAGCAATATTTTAGTACAAAAAATACTAAAAAAGTACTTTAATAAGCATAAAGAAAACCGTCACAAACGAAGCCTAAATAGAGAAAAAACATACACTAAGGAGTCGTATTTATCTTTTTACAATTAATGAGTAAGATATTAATTAGCAGAATATATATATATTTGCATGTCCATACAAGAGAGAGAGAGAGAGATCCTTCTGTGGCCTTATGGCCATACACAATAGATGAGTTTCTTTGCCACAAACACAAGGCATATAAAAAATATATAGTGACACAGTATAATTATTATACCATGGATGTACAAATGAATAAATAATATTAACAGCACAGGTAAGTTTTGGTAGGTAACCAATCTCAATTTTCACTGTATTCAAATATTCCACCACTGTGATTAAATCCACAAGACACATGTAAAGCCTGCACATTCCTGCCAAGATCTAACACCATTGGTAGGGAATAATCAAAATCGTTTCCATGTCCCTGGAACATAATAGTGGTAGCATTACAAGAGATCATGCAATCCCAAATAGTCAGAATGAGGATAATGATGATGGTGTTGATCAGGACATCATTGTAACCAATTAAATGAACATGGTGACCTTTAGGTAAACAACATAACAGGACGTGGAAGGAGAGTGCTCACTCAAGAACGATTTAAAATGGAACTAAAAGAGTGCATTTGACGAAGAAATCTTCTTTAGTTTATGTTGAATGAATAGTTAATATAATCAAAGTTTCATCACTTCTGTTTTTTTAGTGGGTCATCCAAAATGGAAACGTCAGGTAAGTAGGAACAATTATTACGTCCTCTGACCGGACGTAGAGCTACATTCGTCCGCCAATAACATGTCGCCACATGCGCTTACTCTTTACCACGCGGCCCGATGACTTGACCCGAACCGGAACTCGGGAATGCTATGTTCGCGATTTTCTCGGTATTACTCGGTATTTGCTCGGTATTGCTTTGCAAAAACGAGAAATACCGCTCTGTGAAGGCCAATACCATGCAAATACCGAGTTGTACCGAGTTTTTCTACAACTCGGTACAACTCAGTATTTGCTTGGGATTGCTAGGTATTTGCTCGGTATTGCTAGAAAAAACTCGGTACAACTCAATATTTGCTCGTTATTGCTAGGTATTTGCTCGGTATTGTTCGGTATTGGTTATTGCCGAGCAAAATCGACCAAAGAAAGAATTCTAAAAATTAGATAATTAGAATATCTAATAATTAGAATATAATAATAATATAATAATACATAATAGAAAATACCTAAGTAGAGGAAGTAAAATGGGAGTAATTTGTTAATCACAAACTGTTAGGCTGGTTCCTCTTGAACTGGCCCACCCAGGGCCGGTTTTGATCTATAGAAGCGGGCTAGTAGAACCTCCTCCCCTCTTTGCCATCCACAATAGTGGGTCCCACTATTCAAATTGAATCAAAAAGAAGAAAAGAGGGGTGGCTAGGGTTTTGGAGGGAGATTGAATTTAGAAGGTTTATGTATTAAATATCATGAGGTGTTTTAGGGTTAGGGTTATGCTTTGATTTGTTTCTCTTGAAGTTTCTTTGGCGTCTTGGGCTCTAGACTCGTCGTCTAGAGATTGGGAGAGAACGATCCTCTCGAATTGAGGATCCATTGTATCTTGCTTGGTGTTTTCTTTTGCTTTGAATACACTACTACAATCTTTCATTTTGAATTGATTTCATTGATAATATCGCATTATTTCCGCTTTTTATCAATTATTGCTAGGGTTTCTTGCGAACTCAAGTATTTCCTCTTGGATTACTTGCGAACTCAAGTATTTCCTATCACAAACTTCCAATATCATTTGGTCTTGGGGCTTACTTTGTCATTTTGTGCATAAAAAGACATCATACATTATTTGGAGTTAAATTTCATGATATCAAACTCAAGTATTTCCTCTTGGATTACTTGCAAACTCTAAGTATTTCCTATCACAAACTTCCAATATCATTTGGTCTTGGGGCTTACTTTGTCATTCTGTGCATAAAAAGACATCATACATTATTTGGAGTTAAATTTCATGATATCAAACTACATCAAACAAATAAAAGAATCTAGCAAATTTATCGATATACATCATGTTTTTTTTTAATTACAAGCAATAAAATATGGCCTTTTTAAGTCACTTTTAGATGTGGGAAGTTTCACTTATTTTATTTTTGAGCAAATCTTAAACACTCTTACCTCAACTACTTGGGTCTGTGTGCTTGTTCGTATTCGGTCTTATATTGTTAACTAAACCATGCCATTCCGAGTGGGATATAATCTAGTAGCTAACAGACAATAGTTTCAAGGTTCAAAGCACGGTATAACTTCTGAGCCTAGTCACTAAAGCCAAAAATTTTTGCCTTTTTCTATTGGTGCTGCTTAAGCATTCATAAATTCACGAGTTACACGAAAAAAAACTTCACCAAGTTGAAAGCTAATAATGTCATAAGTAGACACTGAAATTGTACATCTTAGGCTTTGTTTGGGGCGGCTTTCTTAATGTTTTTTAAAACAATTTTTTAGTGCAAAAATTTCTAGTTCAAAAAAATTTTATAGTAAAAAGCTGCTTTAAAAAGCAGTAGAAAAGCCATCCCAAACGGAGCCTTAGTTGCAATTTGCAAAGTTAGTCTTAAATCATTGGTCAAGATGATTTTTCTTACACTAATGCTTCAAGGAACATGCATATCTAGAAAAATAGATGTACGTGTTTACAATACCATTTTTATAGTAATATTGCATAATAGGTATGCTTGTATATCTGCGTGCATATATATAGATACTCCAATATATGTATGATACAGGGTTATAACTGCATGAACTATTAATGTATGTATTTGTTCGTCATTATACATTTTACTAAGGGCTATAACTATATATTAAGCAAGATATCAAAGGATAGTTACAAAAATGTAACGGTTCTGCAAATAAAAAATCTTTAGTCTTACAAAGTTTCTTTATTAACCACACTGGATAGGATCATTCCCAATGCCCAAACAAAAATAAATTACGTTCCAAAATGAATACCTCTCAGCCAAGTCAAGGCCACTTTAATTCAAAATTCCTCAGTTAAGGCATATTTTTAAAATAGATGAGATTGACTTCAGACAATAAAAAAAACTCCGGCACTGCTCTTTCTAAAAATATTCTTCTACTAATTTGCTTTGAATAGAAAAACAAGAGTTGATCTTATGACTTCCACTTCGTAAGCAAAAACAGCAGAAGCTAAGCGGTGAAAATCTCAGAACGAACATCTAAGCAAAGTCAGTTTATAAGTGTTGGCACAAGAAAAAAAGACTGATTATGACTTACCAATTGTCCGCCGGAGGAATGTCCCTCTTCAAAAAAAGTGCCATTTGCACCTCCCCAGCCCCACGTGAAGATATTTCCATCTGAAAATAATTGATGTTACATGATTGTTTCCGGAGGAACAGGACAAGAAGAAACACAGGCAAAGCAGCAAAGAAGACTGATGCAAATCAACATTTTTAGTCAGTTTTCTAGGCTATTTACTTGAATCCTTAATATTTTTTGCGACTCCAATTTGATGGTTTACTGCTGTTGGTAGCTTAAATGGCTGTTGTTTACTCTTATTAATCCAGCAATTTCTTTTGGATATGGATTTCGGACGGCCCTCAATTATCTTTTACTTGGAGTTACTAGGTTTTGTGTGCATTATTGGTTAAAGGTTTCACATTGTTGGTTTGGATCAACCGTTGAATTTATTCTATGAAAAAAAAATTTGATACATTGCCTTTGCTTGTATATGGGTCCCGTAACCTATACTTTTACTTGTAGCGTGAAGTTATCCTGCCCCTATTTTGTCTGGATATGGGTACAGCAGCCATTACCGCTGATTACTCCGCGAGAAGGGACGTTAGCCTCCGCTATGGATCACTTCAAGTTCTACCGCAATTTCTCTGCTATGTTTCTGGGTTAGGTGTTCAAAGAAAAAAGAAGTGCCTTGTATGTGATGTGAAATCATAAAGGATCCACGAATTGATTGCTTAGATTAATAAATAATTGTTATGCAATGATAAATTAATCTTAATGTCTTAGCAGAAAGAGGTTCAAAGAGATTCTTAAGAAGATGAAAACGATGTATAGGCAATTGTTCACAAACTAGATTTAGAGTCCTTCAACATAACAACAAATTTAAAAGCAATGGGATGAGTATATCAACATAAATCCACAGGTTAACAAAGCGATGTATTCACCTTGGGTTCCAGTAATCTCTCTCTCTCAAGCTGATAGGGTTCGGCGGAGAAGCGAGATCAACACATCTAGTGATGCCACCAAGAGAAGGTAGAAGCCTCGGGTAGTAGTCGTTGGATTGGTAGCCAAAGTAAGAGATGTAGGTGGATAATCGATAATTTGCCAACGTCCCGGGCGGATGTATTCTTCAATTGAAAGTGTTAATTGATAAAGAATGCGATCCACATATTCTTCCACCGAGTTGTCGTAGTCCAAATTGAAGTCAAAGAAAGTGGATCAAATAATGTCGGTCCGCCCGTAGGAGTCTTCTACGAATCTGTGATCAATGTCCGGATCGGCCCTCCATGCTTGCTCTGAGTGGGGAAAGAGGAGGGTTGGCGTGGTAGGGAGAGAGAGGGGTGGCAATTTGGGGGAGGGAAGGCCGATCGTGGGTGAGAGGGGGAGGGTGGGCTGGTTTTAGGAGAGGGGTGAGTGAGCTTAGCTTGAGATTAGGTTGAGAGGGAAAATCTGAAGTTAATTTCAGAATTTTCCTAATTTAATTTGGGGTAATGGGATTTCAAATTATGAATTTGAAAATATGAATTTAAGAGGGAAAGTTAGGATTAATTGGGCTTTAATTGGAGACTTGATTTAAGCTCCAATTATGGAATTAATGATTTGGGGGGGGGGGGGTGTTTAAGGTGGCCAGCCAAGGAGAGTGAGAGGGAGGGGTTTCGACATTAAATCATTAATAAGGTGGACACACGCAATTAAAGGGAATGAATGGTCTAAATATGAAATTGATTTCATATTTAAACTAATTAGGAAGTTTCCTATTTTAATGGAGGGTCATTTAAGAGGTAATTTGAAATTAAAATTTTGAATATGAATTTAAACCAACTCTTAAATTATTGGGCCCAAATTTGGAAAGGTTTTATGGTGAGTTTGAAATCAAGTTTAGAGGGGAAAATTGCATGGGGCCGGTGGTTGAAGCAGGAGCTAGGGGTGGCGGGTGGGGGTGAACCAGGAGGTTCGCCCGCCGGCTGGGTTGGGTTTAGAAGTCGGCGGCCGGTAGGGGAAGTGGGTTGGGGGTGCTGACGGATTGGAGGTGGAGGAAGAGTGATTCAGGTGGTTTGGGTTGGCTTGGAGAGGGTGTCAGGCGGTGGAAGCCAAGGAAGGAGGAGGAAGGAAATACTAAGAGTACTAAACGCGAGTCCCAAAATCCACCGGCGGCTGACGTGTGATGTGTGGCCCTCTCCAAGGATTTCTACTCTCAAGAACTCACAAAGAGATCAAGAACAAGAATGTTGAATTTTCATTAGTAATCATTCATCACCCATACAATGCAAGAGGCCTCCTTTAAATAGGCCCCAAAGAAAGAAAAACCGAAAATACTAAATTGTCCTCGGGCTACAACATAGACTCAATCCCCCATATGGGTAAAATGGGAAAACTCAAATGCAACATAATACATAGAATAGAAAATACATCAAAAGTACAGACTCTGAACCGTAGCCATCGATTTACGATTCCTCCGACGGTACACATGTCTGAATTTCTGGCAGATGTCCTCATCAATATGTTTAGCCAATCTCTATTATGCTGTTGTTGGACTTGAAATCTTTACTATTTGTTCAAAGAAAAATGAACTGACTAGAGATATATATTTATAACTAGGAAAGTTTGAGTATGAGACAAAAAAGGCATTTGCTTAAAAAAAATTATATTTAGTATTCAATCCTATATATGCAAATTGGATGTGTGATTAATTTAGGCTTCGTTTGGGACGACTTTTTTGTTGCTTCTTAAAGCAGCTTTTTAGTATAAACGTTTTAATTTTTTAACCAAAAAGCTACTTTAAGAAGCAACAAAAAAGCCGGCCCAAACGAAACCTTATGGTGATAAAGTGTGACAACTTAATTCCAAGATTAGTCATCTACTTATAATAGATGAGAGAAATGGATTTTGTTTACTTAAGTAAACTCTTTCCTTTATCTAGTTTCTTCTAGATATTTTGTTATTATCTTGCTAGAATTCTGAATTTATTTCCGAGTAGAATTTTAATTGCAAATGAAATTTCCAATTGTGTGTTGATTTTGCATGGTTCAACATTCTAGTTGATTTCATGGAATTATTTGATCGTTGCATTATTGTTTGAGTTCTAACTCTTTTATTTTATGATTTACACCTAAATAAAATTTTAGGATAATTAGTAATCTTTGATCTGCGAATCCTAATGATGAAAATCTTCACATTATTCTTGCCAGAAGCATCACATGACGTATGCAGCAATTTATTCTTTTCAACGATTGGTTCCTTTATCTGTTACTTTTGTTTTAAAGACATACCAATGAATTGGTCAAGAAAGGTATATTTTATCTCTTAGCCTAATGTTAGTTTATTGTAGGGGTGTCAATTCGGGTCAATGGATCGGGTTCGGGTCCAACTCAAGTTGATCCGGGCGTAAACAGGTTGACCTGAGCCTGACCCAGTTTTACAAATGAGTTAGGATTTTAAACACAGACCAGACCCGTGTGGGTTACAAGTTGACCCGACCTGACCGGCGAACCTAAAAAAGGGTTTAGGTTGCATCCAACGCGAGTGCGGGGGGGCTTGCAGTTCTGTCGAGCGCGAGCCGGCGAGTGCAGGAGTCAACAAGTGCACCAGTGCGAGGCATTCCGCGGGGTCATGGGTGACGGCCTGACGGAGGTCTGCTTGTCTGGGCTAGGCTCGCTAGGGGCTTGCGCGGCAGTTGGCGGCAGCATCAGCAGTAGCATGGGGCGTGCGCGGCAGGAAGATATTTCATTGATTTGAAATACACATTAAGAGGGGGGGGAGCGTAGGTAGGGAGTAGAACGGAAAATAGATATATCATAAAGGTAACTGCAAGAGGTTGTTGATTAATTGAGACCTAGAATTCATAAAACTAAATCCACTTTGATGGGAAGAGGCTGAATGTTGATATTATTATGATGATCCTACTCCATATTTCAACTATTTAATATCAAACAATTTGAAATATTGGCAATGCCAGATTATGTGTGTGTGTGCACACTCGATCATTTTGTATGGAATATCATTGTAGCATAGTTGTTTTATCTGTGTAATCCTCTGAGGGTAACTATTTATATCCGAACAGTTTGACCATTGCTCTACCATATCCGACTTCAAATTTGAATCTATTACTAACCATCAAGTTATGTTTCCTTCAGAGCATTTAGAGGTAGGAGTGTAGGACCAAGAAGTCCTAATCCTTTGTTTCAGTTTATTTATTTACAATAGTTGTTTAAACAAACACATTGATTTCTTAAATGTTTTGCTTTAGTAGCAAAATGCTATGAGCCTGTTGGGTCGGTTCAGCAAAAGGCTATGAACCAACCCAGCCGGCCCTACATGGGCCGGCCTTAGTCTATAGGAGGCGGGTCAAACCGCCTCCCATATTGCCTCCCAAGCAATAGGGGCTCACGCCCTATTTGATTGCCGTCCATTAATAGTGGGGTCCACTATTTGAATTAATGTATTTTTAGCACGGGGGTTAATCTATTTTTGGCAAGAGGATTAATCTATTTGATTTAATCTATTTTTGGTAAGAGGATTAATCTATTTTTGGTAAGGGGGTGGGCGGCTAAGGCTGTAAATAGGCAATAGAGGGAAGGGATACGACATGCTCGAATTTTGTTTTCTCTTGAAGTCTCTCGAGTATCTTGGGCTCTAGACTTAGTATCTAGAGATTGGGAGAGAACGATCCTCCTCTCGAATAGAGGATCAATTGTATCTTTGCTTATGTTGCTTTGTTTTGAGTTATCTAATAAAATCTACTATTTTTGGGTTGCTTCTTTATTATTCTTGTGTTCTTCTCGCTGTTTTTACCAATTTATTGTTAGGGTTGTTTGAGAACTCAAGTATTTCAGATAGGATTACTTGCGAACTCAAGTATTTTGCTATCAGAGCCATAAAAAAAGTTTTAGTTTGTCAGGCACAATAACTTCTTAGGATTCAAAATTATTACCTCAAACAAAAGAAATTAACATTATGATCTTTTAAAGTTCCGCTGAAAGGTGGAAAAAGTGTGATCATACCAGAGACAACAGCAGTGTGCTTCCAACCACAAGATACCTACATAATCATCATTATCAGGAGTATAAGAATCAGCTTGAAGCCATTGCCCAATGAAAAAAAAAATGCAAAAATCAGAACATATGATAGAAACACAAACAACAAGTCATGTAGAAGCGAGCCAACCTCATATACTGGTGCTTTTAAAAAGGAACTTTCAACCATCTGCGGCAAACGTATCACATCAGTGCAACTGACATGGCATCGAATAAATTCAAAATCAGTTCGAATGAACTTTTTTGAAAACATAAATAATGTAAGGGATCATAAAGCACTATAGCCATACCCAAGACCAAGGCATCCATTCTCATTTGAGCCCCATGCATACAGTTCCCCATCATCTGAACAAATATCACAGATCACTAATAATTAATTCTTAGCTTGATTATACTCATTCAACATTTTAAAGAACATGAAATGGACATATAAAATGAAAAATAAAAAATAAAATGAATATTAATCCATCGGGATATAATCCTCTTTAGCTAATTGGCTCACGATTTTGTCCCCTTAGTGTACGTCATGCATCCTAAATGCTCTACCAATAGAACACTTAAACCATTACACCAAAAGTACTCATCATGTTTAAGAGCTCAATTTCACTATAACTAAAAGATCTCACAATCTATCTCATTTAAGTTATTGACGTCCTTGTCATAGGCCTTACACATAACCCTAAATCCATCCATCCATCAAACATAAATTGTAGAGGTGCCTTCCACTTTATGCACTAGTCTAAAATGCATTTACAAAAATGACTTTATATAGCACTTTAACGTACATGGCACTTAATTCCAACTTCTAGTCGATATAATGCTCGGATACCAATTCTAATAACTAAAACTCTGATCTATCAAGATATTAGTCACTTTGTCCTAACAAATATTTTATTTTGATTAAATATTTTATAAAGAGTCCTAGCTTATCCTAGCTCTCACAATTATTCTTTTGTTTATTGAAACTATCATGTTTATTCATTTCATATGATTCATGAAACAGTTGCCTCATATAACCCTTTTTTTTTTTAAGTTCTATGTTTCTCCTTCCAAGAGAAGTATGGTTAACCAAGGCTTTCATGCAGCCTATGCATGAAAATTTTTCTTGGCTTACATGCATGGCTAGTACAAAGCTTAAGAAGAAACAGTTTAAACTTTAGATCATAAGCTCAGAACAGCAATCGGGAGCAAAAAACTCCAAGAAGGCATCTATCAGCCCGATGTTCTTCTCAAGCAACTATTTCTTAAGCATGAACATTGGTGGCCCCTGAGTTTGTGTTCCGAGCTTATTGTAATCAGATGCCACCATTTTAAATTGTTTGTATTTTTTTTTTTTTTTCAAAAACTAAGTCCCTTGCCGTTTTATACAATCCAACGATGAAGCTGTTGTAATTGCTGATATTAATGCATTATTTTATACTTTGATGTTTGTAGATTTTTTATCACTGATGGTGTGAATTGGAGATAGTCTCATCCAACCTTCAAGGAGCCTGGATATGTTTTCTGTACTTGAGGCATAAGTGGAGGAGTTATATGTAAGGATATGAGAATTAGAAGTGCCTGAATTCCTAGTTTCTTTTGTGGAACAGCCTTCATGAACTATCTCTTGGATTTTAGAGCCTGCTGAATCAGATGATGTGTAGTCCACCTCAGTCTGCATCTCTTACTAAACCTCATCGATCCTTTTATTCATTTCTATTTGCTCAAATTCCTTACCTCCTTCATAATATGATTCGTGGTGAATCCCACTGTTGAGTTCAAGGAGACCTCTGTCATATCTAAATGCAGCTTTCCTCCTCAGTTGATGCCTCACACTCACCTCCCTCCTCAACTTCCTCGTCATCATAGATGGTGAGAACCTGAAAAGTTCGATCTTTACACCTATGCATCAGCATGTACTTCTCATCACATCAGAAACATAACCCCTTTGCCTATTTCTCCTGCACCTCTGCTTCAGTGAGTCACTTGAAGTTGCCCCCTGGGCAAACTCCCATGATATTGCTTCTGCTAGCCTCTCCCTCCTAAATTTTTCTTCCACCCTCCGAGCAAGCTCCATCGTCTCCCTCAGCCCCCTAAGTCTCAGTACCCTGAGCTCTGCCCGTATATCCTCCCTAAGCCCCTTCATGAAATTCCCCTCCAATCCTTCCTCTGAGATTCCCCTCAGTCTCCCCGACAGCAACTCAAAGTTCTCCAGGTACTCCATAATTATCCCCTCCTGATTTAGGGCATAGAACTGCTTGTGTGGAGGTTTCCTTCATGAATGGCTCGGAAATGTTCCAATAAGCACTCATTAAATTCTCCCCATGAGTAGATCAGATACCTAACCTCCCTCCAATGGAAATAGGCTAGGGCTTTCCCTTCCAAACATAAACCCGCCACCATGAGTTTTTCTCCTTCCGTCAGCCCGTTAATAACAAAGTAACGTTCCACCCAGTACACCCAACCCTGAGCATCATCCCTTTCAAAGATAGACATCTTTAGCTTCCTTGATCTAGCATCCATACCCCAATGGTTTCTTTCTCCGTTGGTTCCTCCCGTATAGTGGTAGTGTGATTCCCTTCCTTCCTCCCTTGATTAAGTTTGACCTCATGGCTCCCCCCCCAATCATACCCTTCTCCATTCCACCTCTCCCCATACCCGAGTAGTCTCCCAAAAGGTTTAGCCTCCCCCCTCCATGTTGTCCTCCCTTCGGAAAACCCCGATCCAACCACCAACGGAGCCCTATGTGGCGATCCTTGATGAAAAACACTCTCCAACTCATCATCGTCCTCCTTAATCTCCTTTCCTTTTCTCTCCACCTTAGGAATTGCAGGTGATGCTTTTGACTACATCTCAAGCATATTTCTCATCATGTCTTCAGAGTTTTCAAAGTGGTTCTCGATGGTTGACTCTTCCCTCCACCCTGGAATATTTTTCCTCTACTCTAGCCTTGAGTTGTTCCATCTCGCCTTCCAATGCCTCCATCTTCATTTCTGTCATTAATTGGATATAGGCATCAATCGCAAGAACAACGAAGACAACTTGTTTTTCCGCCCAAGAAAGCGCTCTGATACCAATTTGATAGGTAACAAGTGCATAAATCAAAGAGATAGTGAAAGATACAATGGGTTTTCAGTTCGAGAGGAAGATCCGGCTCTCCCAATCCCTAGCCAGCAACTAGACCCCAAGCAATCCTAGAGAACTCCAAAATTCAACAAAACAAAACATAACTCTAACCCTAACCATAACCATTTCCCCCCTATTAAAAGAATACAATATTGAATAGCCCATCCCAAAATTAATTCCCTCCTAAACCGCCCCCTCTTTAATTTTGCATTCAAATCAGGGGCCCCACAAGAGGGCTGACGACTTGCTTGGTCTGCCTAGAATACACCAGGGGCCGACCCTAGTGTTGGCCAGCTAGACCGATCCATCTTGGATCGGGTTAACAATTCGCTGGAAGAAAAAAGGCGGAATTGGCCAAAAATACCAAATGAGATCCCCATCGTGACCACCTCATCTACGATCGTTGCAATTCTAAGGTTTTCTCTTTAACGAAATTAAAGATGGTGGTATATTATGTAAAAAGTAAATATAAATGTTAAATATATAAATAGTGAAATTTGGAGCATTGTACATGTAAATCCTCCAAAAATAAAAATGCAGATATAAAAATGAAAAAATAGTATCAAGTTTAGCGAAGAAAAGAAGATGACCTATAAGGTGATACTGTATAGGGAATCGGGATGGAGGTCTAAGGTGTTGCACTGGAATGTAGATAGTATGTCGTGGCAGACAAGTGAGATCAAAGCAGCAGATAGTGCTGGTAATATGAGGGCCAATGAAGGGAGCTCAAGAGATGGTGATCGGGGCTAGCAAAAGGAGCTTTAGAGATGAAGATTGCGACCAACATAGGGAGAACAGAAATTCAAGTTTTAGAGGTAAGGAATTAAAGAGCAATTAGGTCAAGAGGGAGGGGGATTGCACGTAGTTAGGTCAGGATATCACAAGTTGTGAAAAAAAAAGTAGAAGAAGATCATGAGTTATTGACATTGAGAGATCATAAGCTGTTGACTTGCTTGAGAGAAAAAATATAAGAGAAGAAAAATTGTGATGATGGCACCACAACCCACAGCATGCTTCTCATAAATCCATTAAATCCACTTAGGGTTGAGATTTAGAAAATCTAGAATTCATCGAGAAATAGAGAGTAGTGAAGAGGATTTAGTATTACTAAAGGACTTAAAAGTTTCAATGAATTTTGTTAAACAAGACTTCAGTTATATCTTACTAAAATCTCATAGCAAACAGCAACTTAGACCTATTAAAATTAAAAATCATGACCAAAATTATAGCTTATCAGAATTGCAATCACCTTATCACTAAACAAGTGGTGAGCTTGCATCTCCGACATTAGTCTTAAACCTTGGGCTCTACCCCACATCACTTGTTAAAAGAATAAAATTGTCTTGCTTTTTTGAAGAAGAAAATTATAAAACAGGTTATTGCTTCATTGGACGATGGTAAAAAAATAACAAGCAATTTAAAAAATAAAATAGAAAACAAGAGCAAGCATATGAAATTTTAAAAAAAAAATTAAGAAAACACATGCATGCTACTCAGTAAGTAACAAATCAGATATATTTAAGAAAAGTACTTGTCACAACACAAGTGTGATAACCCCCACAGGCAACTTCCACAGAGCGTGGAAGTTTCTCAACAGCAGATGGTTCAGAAACCTTCTTTCCTTCACTGAAACCCTGCATGATAAATGAAAACATGCAAATAATTACTATACTAATAATTAAAAGAAATAAAACAGGTAACAGCATTAAAAGCTAAAGGAAATACCAGCACATCAGCAGCCTTTTCACCAAATGTAAAAACAGAACCTTGCTCTTGAATGGGAATCACACAAAAAATAGTAAGACAAGTTAGAACCGAACACAGACGAATTATTGGATGAATAGCATCCAGATAGATTTACCATCAATGCAAGCCGAGTGCAGCATTCCAGCAGAAACCTTGTTGATCTGCAAGCACATATAAATGAATTATCTTTAAATAAACCAACAATGCACGCAAATACCAATCACAATGTTCTCTGGGGAAGGTAAGAACACAAAAGAAATAAAAAATGTACCTTACGGCCTTCCAAATTCTTGATCAGCCTTGGCATATATTCACTGCATAAATGGATCACAAAGTATCATTCTGTATAATGAGAAACAGTGTCACTTTTTAAAACAAAAAATAGAAAAGGTTTCAGTTTCAAAATGCATTTTCAATAGCATAGAAGAGAACGTATAACAGTAAAGACTGCTTTCTGCAAACCTGGAAAACCATTAGAACCCACAAACCAGCCTGATATTACATCATTAAAATAACAGTTTTGAATCATATCAGAGGAAAAAAGATGATAGTACTTCGTAACAATAAAAAAGTTGATGACAAAAACTATAAACAAATGATAGGGAATTATGGGGGGAAAAAACATAGATAAAGCAACCTCTAAAGCGCCGCAGTGCCAACTCACCCACCAGGGGTGCCACAACGCTAAGCAATTAAGCAATGAAACAACACGTGGAATCACCTAGAATGCCATAGCGCAACATTGCCTATCTAGCACCGCATCACTATGGGCCAATGCGGCCATGCCCATCTGACCAGTTTGGAAGTTATTTTTTGAAGAACTATATATTGCTCATTTGAGAGAGGGAATTCTGATACGCCCTAGGGTTCCACAATTTCGGTTTTGCCCTAATTTCCTCCAAAAATGAGGAATTTCTCCACCAAAAGCAAAGAGAAACAATCACAAGAGGGTTGAGATGAAAAGCAAGAACCTTTGCATTAGAAAGCCAAGAGAAAACAAGATAAGTTTGTCCACTTCGAGAAGGACAAGATCTCCCACAAGAAAACCCTAGAAAAGAACAAGAAGGAAACTAGAAGAAGAAAACTAGAAAGACAATACACTTTTCATAATGCCTCCAACTAAACCCTAATGGCCCCCTTCATACAATCCAAAAGTCCCTCACATCCCCAAATTACCCCCACTTAAGTGGGTGGGCCCCTTTTTGTCCAGCCGGTCCGCCCGCCTCCCATAGACCCGCATGGGTCTAGGATGGACCGGGTGAACCGGTCCATCAAATTCTTTTGGCATTTTCTAATGTTATTCATGTACGTTCTAGTGTTAGTGTTAGTATTAGTGTCAGTGTGAGTGTGGAGAGCATAATATGCAATTTATTCTGGCCGGTTAATTTGAATTGACCAGCCCTAAATGAAAACCTGCATAAGCAGGTCGAGCGGAACCGAACAAAGAAGCGGCCCAAGCAGACCGCACAAAAGCATGGACGGGGCTGGACAGGCCGGTTTTCGATTCTAAGCAAGGATTTGAGTATGTGAATGAAATCAGGCGACTCCTCACAAAGAATAACTCCCTCCCATTCGATCATTATTGCTAAAGAAGCATAATGCAGGAGAAAAGTTAGTAAACGAGAGGAAGAATAATAAGGAAGGTTACTTGTCGATTTTTCTCCATTTATGTATAAATTCTTCCGTGAAATTATATATAATCAGCAAGGAATGTTTTCACCATAGGTGAAGGAAGAAAAGTTGAAAGAGAAAGAGAAGAATTTGGGATTTTTGGAATTCTTCCATTCTCTAAATGTGGAAAAAAAATAGTAAGTGTTAAATTACTAATTTTATTGTTAAGATTTGATAGAATATTTATATTGCTACTTCTTTAATCTAAGGAGTAAAATATTATTGTCGATGGGAAGAATTCAAGGGAAGTAAACTTTATTTCGACAGTGAAGGAAAGGAAAATTCATTTGGAAGAAAAGATTTTGTGAGGTAATTTTATATTATAGAATAGAGAGTGTAATAAATTGCGGAGGAAATTTGATGTTTGTTTATGATGATACTTAAGGCATCCAATTTGAGTACTATATTTTAGGCATCCAAATATAGTAATAATTAAGACATTATTGTGTAATTTTGAACAGAGAAAGATTTTCATAAGTGAACTAAGAAAAGTAATTTGAGGTCTACATGAAGCTCAAGATTTGGAAGGAAATTGAAAAACGAAAAAAAAAAATTATTGTTGTATTTCAATTTAAATTCTAAAGGTAATGTTTTATATAATTATTTTACTTATATTTGGATGTTACTATGTGTAAGATGATGTTAATTCAAATGCATATGTGATGATGAACATTTGACATTTAAATGAGTACGATAGAAGAAATGTATATCAAATAGCATAATAGTATAGATATATATGAATACGTGAAAGGAGTATATATTGATTTAAAACATATGTAAAGGAAAATAAATAAATTTGAAAGCATAAAGTGGAAAAAGAAAAGACATATGCATATAAATTATAGGAGTTCACCCCCGTATGGTACTGGCTGAGAAAGCAATGTACTCGTGCACGTTAAATGGAAATGGTTGTACGTTTTACGTTTATGAGTATATTTAGACGGTGCTCCTGCACTAATGGAAATGGAATAAATATTAAATGGTAATTAAAAAAAGAAATAAAATAAGAAGTTATGTGAAAGATAACTTATAAATCTATAATATATGAAAGAAATAATATATATATATATATATATATATATATATTACTGTATAAGAAAGACAAAGAACTATATATGTTTTACTATATATATCTAACAGTTGTAAATGTAAATATAATAAGATTGGTGCGTGTGTGTGTATACAAATGAATATGTTCATTTTATGTATGTAAAATTTCTATGTTATAGGCATGACTACTCACTGAGTTTACTTCGTAAACTCAATCCATTAAATTAACATATTTTTCAGGTAAGTCTACTTATAAGTGAAAATGTTGAAAGAAGAGTATGTCCATAAAAGACAGCACTCAAATGAAAGCAGGTAATATATAGTTTATGTAATTGTTAAATTGTGATAAGTATTAGTAGTTGATGAAAATTTTATGTTAGTGACTCTTAAGTTTTATTTGGAATGTAGAAATTAAACTGTGTTTGAATTTAAAAGTAATGTTATGACTGCTCGACTGTTTATTACCACCTCGTTAACTCGAGTATTCGGGCCGGATCGTGACAGTGCAAGTGAATTTTGGGAACAACCATGTGTGGATATTCCTAGTTCTATCAGTTCTATTCTTCACTCTTGTGTTTATTTTTTAATTTTTATTTGAAATGAAAGTTCTATTTTCTTGTTCATTAATTATGCAAGTTGGTGTCTAATTTTCCTATGTTGAATTTATGATGTGATAGGGAATTACGTGTCAAATGGAATAGGTCTACACTTTTCAAATGCAACTATTTTTTCTGGTTTCCTCATTCTTAATTTATTTGTGTTTAGGCCAAACACAAATTTAAATCTTAGTATTATTTATCTCCCTAACGAAGGCATACTGGAACAATTAGGGAGTCTTGAATAAGACTCTAAGGACAGAGAGATATGATTTGTAGGGTATAAGAATCATTAAGGAGATGTTGTGCATTCAATGAAGCGAAAGATTAGCCAAGTTAGGCATAACTTTACTATGATTCCAACAAGCTTGACAGAGACAATAAATTATTTATGCTTTGGTTCATAATTAAAATTTTATAGATCAATCATGTTCACATAATTATCCTATCACCCATAAATTCATATTTCTCTAGCATTAGAAAATTCCTTTTAAAAACATTATAAGTAAATTTTTAGTTTATAGTAAATGATCAAGAAAGTTAATACATAACATTTTAAAATTAGTAATTAGATTCCTCATGGAAACAATAACTCACTTATGAGTATATTATTTGAAACGGCACATGCATTATGTAGCACCGTATCAACCACTAAATAATAGGTGAGTAGACAAACTTTTGTATTTATACAACTTTAGAAGCATGGAAAATAGCATTCAAAAAAGGTATAAAAAATTGGAAATAATTAGGTCAGCAAACAAACCAAGTGCTCTACATGCTACTTGTGGCTTGGCTCGACAAAGCTAAAATTGGCAGGATGTTATAGTATGGGATTTTTAAACTTTTAAAATTGCAATATAATGTTTTAAGCTCAATGAATTTGGCTCGATATGCTCATTTATGTTTCCTAACGAGCAATTCTTTTAAAGTTTAATGATCAGAAAATGAACTGAGCTGGAGTCGAGCTCAAACTAAGTTAAAACAAGTTTGATTAACGAGTCGAGCTTGAACACTATCATAAAGATCAAACATGCTCAAGCCAAGCTTGAACAAACATTTGGTAAATGAGCTCGTGCTCAAATAGATATCAGTTTGGCTCGCCTTGATTTGTTTACAACCCTAGTTACAATGTGGAAACTTTTGTCTTTGCTAGATATAAGCTCCATGTGTTTTATACTTGTACTGCCTGCTTTGATAAAAAGTTGTATTGGAGATATAAATCAGTGTTCAACTAACTTTCCAATAATCATGCGATAACTTCTCTGAAAATGATAAAAGCTACAACTTTAATCATAATGAAGGAGCAGATCCTCCAATTAAACCTTGAGCTAAACGAGAATCCCAAAATTCTGGATTGATGACCATGACCAAGTCTCCCAGCGCCACCAGACCCCCAACTCAGCACATTACCTTCATCTAATGTGAAGAGGAAAAAGTTTAGATGGTACATAGAAAAAACAACAAAAACGAATGCAACGGGTTCTGAAAGGACATGGTAAATCTTCCACCTTACCTGTGACAGCAATTGAATGCTCAGAGCCTAATGAAACCATTTTAATATGGATACCATCCAAGGAGTCAACCCTGGTAGGTGTAGAGACTACACTTTTCGCCCCTGCAAACCAGAAAAACGTATTAATGTATTTGGAAGTCGTAAGCAGAAATTTCATGATTAATATAGGTTTTAAGACATAAAAACAGGAAAAATATTTAATATGTAAAAGCTACTTAAGATGAAATGTCCTATGGAATTTCACATGCATCTAGAATTTGAAAAAAAAATTACAAAAAGGAAAAATAACGTAGAAAATGAGGATTTAAGAAAACTTCTATAAGAGAGTAAGAGATAGATCATAAAATACATAGCTAAGTTGTTCTATAAAGCCGTCATCCTTTTCACTGCAATGAAATTAGAGAGTTTTCTACATGGTAGAGATGATTGAGCAATATGGACCGGGTCTCAGACCCCCATCTTATTTTGAACTGAAAATCCCTCCTACTTGAAAGAGAATAAAAAAGGCAATTAAGAAGAATGTAGTTATGTAGAGGAACAAAACAAGATTTGGCAAAATAAGGGCTGAACTTTTATGTCAAATGAATGGTTGATCGTAGACAACGATCACTAATTAATTTCTTAGTTAATTCATTATCAGGCACAGTACTTTGGGAATCAGATGATGCATTTGAATATTCGTAAACTGCATTGAGGCTCTTTAAGCTCCTTGAGCACAAATTGAAAAGATAGAGAAGCAAATGTGTTATAATTGGTTACAGATAACCACTTTAATTATGTCCTTATAGGTTAGAATATTGTATTATTTTATTTAGATATATTTATTTTTTGCTACATCCTGAATATATCTCAAGCTCCTTGCATATTGAACAACATGTGCAGTTCATTGCATAGATCAAATATTAGAGGATATTGAAAAGACTAATCAAATGAGAAAATTAAATATATATTTATTAAGAAAGCCTTGGAGTTATATGGATTTACACAAAATTATGGCCATGTTCTTAATATGATGGAAAATATATAAATGATGCAAATTTGGAGAACCTGAGTATCACTTATTTTGACGATACTTTAATCACTCTTGCATACAAATACAAGTAAAAAAGAAAAAAGAAAATTTAAGATGTATGTATGTCTTTGAAAATTGAAACAAATCTAGATTTAGTGTTGATTATAAATGAAAGAAAGGTAAGGAGGTCATTTTCAAGGCTATTATTGAATGGTGTGACCTATGATTGAAGTTGACAAGCCCATTAGGAAATATGTTGAGGTATGTTGATCACGATGAGGGCAGCAATAAGTTATATTTATGATGCAATCAGCAAGGTGAAGGATGCAATTAATTAGTGGTGTATTTGGGGGAGATGAAATAAGTGTGAGCAAGTCTGTTTCAAAAATAAATGTCAACTCCATCAAACATTGCATCAAATCAATTATCATCTTAACATAGAGTTTTTTTTCAATAATAAATCTATAATTGATGTGATACATGCTTGGAGTTACATAAGATTATCAAGAGAATTTAATAAGAAGTTAACCTTTATAAAATTATGCGTCAATTCAAAGTAGGTTACAAGAATTCTCGGTCTTCCACTTGCTTAGGCAAAGAGTTGCGTGAAGATTAACCAGGACGCTCTCAATCAAATACAAAGGTGAAGTAATGTGAAAGCTTATAACACAAATCCAAAAGTTAATAATGAGGTGTTCACCTTTGAGGATATACTCTCTTCCCTACGAATCTAGGTTGAGCGGAGAAAGATATTCCACACTAGAAATGAAGTAACCACTAGGACGGACGAGCCGATGAACGTCGTTGTTGGGAAGGTAGCCGGAGGTGGAGGTGGCACGTATCTTCCGGTGAGGGACCACGGGGTCCTTGGTCGTTGAAGCTCAATGGTGTGGGAAATGCAATACACGATCCGGTTGACGTAGCGTTCAACGGTGATGTCGTATTCCCAATCCGGTTCGTAGAAGGGGGAGAGAAAGATGTCGATCTCCCCTTGCTCGTTGTATGCGAAGCCGTGATCAACTTCGGGATCCGCCATGCATGGTTTGAAGGAGGGAATTAATGGGAGGGAACTATAGTGGAGCCGGCGGCATAGGGAGAGGAGGGAGAGGGTTGTGGAAGGAAACTGAAATCAATTTCAGTTTTAAGTGAAATTGGAGGGAGAATTATTTGAGATCAATTTCAAATTTCAAACAAGGAGTGAGGGCATTGAATGAGCATTCAATGGGAAACCCCATTAAGGGGCCGGCGACATCAAGGAGGAGGGAGGAGATGGGGGAGGATGAGAGGGGTTTTCCAAATAGGTAATGATGACTAGGAAAGAAAAATTATTAAATCCAATTTGATTTAACTTAAAATTATATTCAACATAAAAACTTTCCTAATTTGGAAAGAATTTGAAATTCGAAATTTGAATTTCAAATATGATGGCTAGCAGTAGAGGGGTGGCGGGCGGATGAAGGGAGGTCGGTGACAAGGTGGTCGGCCGGTGGTAGGACGGCAGCCAGCGGTTTGGGCTCCAAGGGGGCGGCGGCAAGAAGGGGGAGGGGGTCGGATTCTCCAAGCTAATGGGTTTTGTTTGTCTTCTCTTGAGGTGGAGGAGGAAGAGATTGGTGGAGAAGAAAAAGGAAAATAAGAATCACAAACCTCAATACTTCATCCACTAAAACTCACAAAGAGATCTTGGGATTTTGGAACTCACAAAGAGATCCACAATATTATTTCCTCAAGAACTCACAAAGAGATCTAGGGGAAATGTCATAAACTCACAAAGAGTAACAAGAGAAAATTTTCATTCATCAACTATCAATTTCCCCATACATAAGAAGATGGCCATATATATAGGCCTCAAAATGACAAGGAAAATAAAAGACTAGAATGCCCCCTTGGGCTACAATAGAGACCAACTACCCATAAGGGCAAAAATGGAAAAACTGAAATAAAATGATTAATACATAAAATGCTAATACAGAAAATGCATCAAAAGTAAAGACTCTCCATCATTACCATCGATCTCCTGTGTCGCCTCTGATAAACACGTCGAAACCTCTTGTCGATGTCCCCATCAATAATACAAGCTTATGAACAACTGATGAAAGATTTATATGTTATTACTGACAGGTTTATGAAATACCTAAATGAGATAACTTTTATGTATTAAGAACACTCTATTTATGATCATGCTGGATAAAAATTTCACATATAATTATTAATTAAATCTTTACATAATTATGAACTTTTTTATTGATATAAGATTTTTAATGTGATATAACAATTTTAATACAATGAAGTAATGAAAAATGTATAATGCATTACCACCAACTTTAAAAAATTTAATAATTAATATTTTAGGCTTCATTTGTTGTGCAGTTGATTTTGAGGAATAACGGTGCCTTCAAGTAGGATGTTAATTTATTAATATTGAATATACTAAATGTCACACCGCAATTTGACCTCCTATAGTCAAACTAGAGTGTAACAGAGAAGAAGAATCTAAACTGACCTGCTTCTTACTTACACCCATTCTGAAACACTGATATCAGAATTAGATGAGTAAGAAGTGGCCTATTCAAACTAGGGATAGATCTGCCCTTTGCCCGCTTGCCCCCCTCAAAAAAATAAAAAACCTTTAAGTAAAGATTATTTGGTAATTTGCCCTTTCTAATGTTATTATTTTGCCCTAACCGATCATGTTTCACGCACAGGAGCCGCCTATATTCAGTTCGCTTGCCTCTCGCGGTCTCACCTCTCGTCGTTTCGTCCATCTGAAATCAACCATGCAAGTCGAAGCTCCGATCACCCTTTCAAAGCATCAACTATTTAGAGCATTTTTAATACATTTCAAAACTACTTGCAGAATGGGATTTCAGATGAAATCTGAGCCCTTGATTTCAATTTTAGATTTAAGTATTCGATTTAGCCCAAATCAATCAATTAGGGCTGAAATTGAGCCCGAATCAGATTCGACTCAAACTGATTTGGGTCGGTTTGGGTCCGATTAGGTCCGACCAAGTTAATTTCACGAAATTAAACTTGAATCGGCACCGAAAAGCGTTGAATTTTGCTTGACGATGCTCGATTGGGTTCAATTTAATTTAATTAAATCGGGATTTAATTTGGGTCAATTTTAGTTCTACGACGTTCGATCGAGGTTGATTCATGCTCGATTGCGAAAATAAACATCAACAAACATTTAAACTTCGGCTCATAAAATATCAATGCTTATGGGTTTAGTAGTACATTTTTGTCCCCTATTCGTTGGGACAGGTGAGCACTGAATCAGGATATTTGTATTTTAGTTTATATATATATATATATATATATATATTTTAATATTTAAATAAAATTGGTTCTGCCCCTGATTCAAACTACCCTAATATCTCTAATCATATCCAGCTTTATACTTCATAACAGGAAGCATATGTAACATATCTCAAATAAAAATGCACATCTCAATTAAAATACAGAGCTTTACTAAAATATTTAAAATTTAGTTACATACCCAAAAGTTTGTACGGCTCTCACTTAGTTCCCTTCATACACCCAAAAAGTGTATGTACACAAAAGAGTAGTCGACTATCCTGACTACTACCCCACTGGCTCTTTCCCCTTGCATGCAATACAACCACTATTAGTGAACTAGCGTTTAATGAAATACGCAAACAATGTATAAGAAATAATAGTGAACATGTTGGCAATTACTATAAAAACATGTATATTTCTATACAAAATATAAGAAGAATATAACACAACTTTCTGTTATGTTTACTATTCAACACATTTATACAAGTCATATAATGGCTATAGGCTTTTGCACCCTTCTAGCTTTCCAATTCAAGGTTGGGTTTGAATTCTCAATTTTTAAAATTTAAGTTATTCTCTCATTCAAGGTTGGGTCCGAATTTTCAATATTTAAAATTTCGAGAGTGTGGGCTTAGCTCGTTAGTTTTTTCACTTTACTTTTGTGGGTACATCCCTCAAATATAACTTATTTCACATTTTTCATATCATTCATTTTTCACAATCATATAACGTGCTATTATAATCACTACTTAATAAATCAATCATTTATATATGAAGGAACTAATGTTAT